TTTCTAATATCTAATCTTAATCTAACATATTTCAGTTTGAAGCCATTCCCCCTTGTCTTGTCATCGCACACTCTTGCAAAGTCTCTCACCATCTGTCTTGTAGGCTCCCTTCAGGTATGGGAAGGCCACAGTGATGCAGATATTCACTCTAATTTTCTGCAGTAGCATAATACCCTGCTTATTATACCCATTCAGCCTGCCAGTGGGCTTCACAGACTGCCTGGCAGGCTTTTTGCTCTGATGTTGATGATTCCTATGGAAGAGGCATTTAGTACTATGTTTGATTGCACCAGCCAAATGTTCTTCAAACTTTTTTTTCCCCCTGGACTGCTTAATTATATTTTTGCATTTAATCTGCTGGGTTTTATGATCCTTTTTATTTTCTTCATTTGGATACAGCTTCTGCATTTGAATGATGCCTTCTCAATTCTAATAAACTCTTTTACTTCCCAAATCTTTAGCTCACTGTTCCATCACACCTGCTTTTTAAAATTGTTTCTCAAGTTTTTCCTAACAGACAGTGTGCACTGGAGCTCTGCTTTCAGTAGGATGTTCTTTGGTAGTCCCTGTGCTATCCATGAGGATTTTGTTCTCTCAGATAACTATTCTAGTTTCTTTTTAAACAATTTTCCTCCTTTTCATATATGTCAATTTCTTGATATTTAGCCCAGTTGTGGTGACTTTTTGATCTTTGATGCTCCAAAGAGTATATTTGATCTAAGTATGTTGTGATCATTGCTTTTCAATGGTGGTTTTTCTATGAAAGTTTGAACCAGAACCTACATAGTCTTTACAGTCATGACACAAGGTATTTTGAAATCCTGAGATGAGAAGATTTTAAGGTGATAAGGAGACAGCTCAGGTACATGTACTACTGTAAATGGGATTGATTTGAAGGCAAAATTGTAGAAGAGTTTTAAGAATATATTTTGAAGTATTCAAGTGTAATGAAATTTATCAGAGATCACGAAAGAGGGTAGTGGTGTGGAGACTGAATGACTTAGTCTAATATCACTGGAAGAACAGAGCTGGGGTCAGTAAGATACCATAGAGTGACTTCAGGCAGTATTGAGAACAAGCAGAGGAGATGAAATAATGGACCAGGGAGGTAATTTTCGGTAGCAGCAATTAGAGTGGATTTGATGAGTAATCAAGGAATATTTTGGTTGGATGGTGTGGCATGAGGATATAATATGACCTTTCTACATACTAATTTGTTCATGCAAACAAAGTTGCCTCTATGCAAACTGGGTCAACATCTTGAAGGCATTTGGACAACTGGGCCCTGTCTGAAGGAGTTAATATACTAAAAAAAGATTCAAACCTCAGAAAATGTTAATGGACTAATGCATGAGAGAAATGAAGGATTAGAAGTTGTGCGTAGTGCTGATGGTCTTGAAAATATACCAGAGTCCTGCAATGCTGTATTAGTTGTGCCATACTGCTTAGAAGATCCTCTAGGAAAATTAGCAGAAGAATCTCAGGTCAAAATTGTAGCAAAAGGCTAATCCTTCAATTAACCAAATCATTGATTTGGATGAACTTTTTTTTATGCAAAAGAAGCAGGTAATTTTTCATTACTGTTTGGCACATGTAGGCTTTATTCACTGAGAAAATGTAATCATCAGTCCAGGCAGTGCTTTTCTCCTTGCCTCCCAGATGCTAGCTTAGAAATAAATGTGTGTAGAATGGATGTGTGTGGTAGTAGCTATATTCTTTCTCTCTGATTTATTTGGTTCCATACACGCTGAATACATCAGGCATTTGTTTAAGTGTATCTTTCTGGGTAACTGTGGACTGGAGGAATATTGAACTTGGTATAATAGGAATCTCTCAATAAATAAAAAGTCTCCCACTAAATCTCCCTTTATAAAGGCTAAGAAGGGAGATCTGTAGCATTCCACCTGCATATGAATCGATTTCAATCAGCCTTTAGGAGATTTCAGGCTGTGTTAGCTGTAGGATAGCATAGCACAGCAGCAAAACTGCCCTCAGATCCCTTATTGACAGGTTTGTTATGAAACATGGAATATTTAGATTGAGGAGATTCATTCCAATACTGCAGATGCCCAGCCCTGTTATCTTCATTTCGAGTCTGCTCTAATGCTATCTGCAAACACACCAGCTTCCCCATCATATGCAATAGGACACTGACTTCTCCAGATAGGCCTTTCCTGCAAATGAATTAGCTCTTTTAGGCCAGGACACTGAGGGGGATATTTTCTGGTTACTTTTTTAAGGGTAATTTCTGTATTTAGGAAAATGGGCCAACTTTTCCATTTCAGAATCCTCTGATTCATATATGGGCAAGGTGAGAGGTTAGAGGCCTCAATGTTAATGAGTGAAGCAGCTTCTGATTTTTACACTACTTGAAGCATTTACATTTTTTAGCAGAACTAAAATGCAAAACTAACACATTCCTTGGAGATTTATAACCCCACAATAGATTCTCCTATCTTCTCTCCTTTAATTATCCCAAATTATCTGAACTCTCATGAAGAAGAAAGAAATTAATATTAATATTCCATTTAGAATATATTCTAAAATGCAGTAGAAAATGGAGGCAATAATAATGATAAAGAGGGTAGCTAAGATGATTTGGAATATATAATCTTTCTTCTCTTCATTGCAGCTTTCGTATACTAGAATAAGCCAGGAAAACTCAGTCTTGCATTCACTTAGCAAAGCAATTTTTTTTCTGCAGTAACTTCCAGTGTAAAAGTAAAAGCTCAGTAAAATATTGTTCTGTCTGTTAAACGTAATATTTTGGCTCTGCACCTTGATCAGAAAAAAAGATACGGATAAAAGAATTTGGATAACTCTTGAATAGTGTTTGTACATGGGGGGCAAATATACGTGTGTGACTCCTCACTGGAGAGTAGACAGGGAAAATAACTAGAAGAAAAGAGCAGCTATAAACTAGGCATGAACTGAAGCAGAAGTTATAGTTTAAGTTGAAAAAAAAGGAGGAAATTACTGTTACCAGAAGAGGAAACAGTGGGGTCAAACTAATCAAAAACTGCAAATGTTGAATTTGTGTCTATGGACCACAAGTCAGAAAGAGTGTACTTGCATGAAATTGGCAGAGAGGTGCCACAGAGAAGGGTGGAAGTGGAAAAGGAAGACTCTTCACTGAGATGGTGAGACCAAAGTACCTGGTAAATGTCCAGCTGGCCACTGACTGCCTATTGCTGTGAGTTACAGGTTTGTAATTGGCCTTTCCTATTCCGAGATGGCCATCAGCTGCTGTGCCAAGTTCCTCTCTCTCAGCTCCGGGGCATCGACTACAGGGCTCCCACTGCCCTGGAAGTTTGTAGTTACAAGACCTGAGTGGAAGATTGGTTTAGTTTAGGTTTACAAGTGTCCAAAGATGAAAAAGAGCCTTGAGAAATGGTCCTCCATGGTGGGATACCATTCACAGTGAATGTAAAAGTATGCCCAAGTTCAGCTTTAAAATTGAGAGCATATTAAATGCCTGAGTCCCATAACCACTTCTACATTTTGTTCTGTGTAAATTTGTTAGGGTATCCACTCACTGTGAGAAGTCAGGGACTTTCAAAGGACCCACCACTTGTGAGGATGTTGGCTTACATACACCTGCCTTGGTGTTGCACTGTGGGCCATGATTAAAACCATGTTATCCTGTGAAGTAGTGTTTGATTTCTTGGACAATATTTTGTGTCAAAACTGTAACTTTTTCAAGGTGGGAGGGATATGAAGTAACTCCATTCTCCTGTGCTTATAGACATTTTTCTTCTCACTGTCTTAGTACAATGTTAGCAAGTTGCTGTAAGGGTGGAAGACATCAACTACAGTGAAGTCCATTTGCAAAGCTGTTGCATAGGGCATCACAGATTGGGCCTGAGGATAAATTGTGGGTGAAAAGACTGTCATATTAAAAAGAAACAAAACACTAACAAATAGAGAACGATACTAAAAATAGTGAACAGACTTGAGCTCAGCTGTGAATTTGAAAACCCATTTTGCTGTTTCTTTTTAGCTTGAAAATAGCCTTTGGTGTTTTTGTAACAATTTGCCTGCACTCTTTTGTCTGGTCAGCTTTCAGAGGCTCAAGACATGTTTGTGAGCAGTATTGAGGCATGGAGAAATGTATAGAAACTGGTCATGGTCAGCATACAATCCAGCTGCTCAGGAGTCTGCATCACTGCGTAAGAGTGGTAGTGCTACATGTGTGTACAATTGTAGTGCAGCTGGGGGATACTGTGGGTTGGGTTTTTTGGGTTCATTTTTGCTATAGAGCTTCTGTGAAAGGAACTTGTGTTTCTCAGCTTTCTCCAACAAGACAAAATATTTGGGAAGGAACACTAGGTCCCTATGAAGTGTTTTGTTGTTCTGTTCAATATAGCAACATTCAGTCTCAGGAAAAGCAATTTTGTGATCCTGACTCTTTGGTTTTATTTAAAAGTCAGGAAAAAACTCAAATCAAACCAAAACTCATGGCTAAGGATGTTCATAGTAGCTACAGGTTTTTGGTGTGAATGTGTGTTTTGAATAGTTACTAACGATATGTGACCTTTAAACATAATGGAAAGGGGAAACTAGATTTTATTTCATTTAATAATGTAAAAATCAAGAACACTTGCAATCCACCACTGAGAAACAGTAATGTGATAGATAAAGCACTGGACTGGGGTTTAATCTAGGCATGGCTGTAGAATTTCTACATCAATTTGTCCAAGAAAATTAACCAGAACACTTATCCAGGACTTTGCTATCTGTGAAATGAATATGATAATCCCACATTATCAGCCTGGGACAAATCCATGAATATTACTTGTATTTACTAAAATTTTAGATTCTTTTTTTCTCTTCTTCAATTATTTAAAAAAATAATTTTAGAAAAACCTGACTAAATATATGAAAGGTATTACATTACACACCTAATATAAATTGACTGGCACATTCTAGACTGTTGAATGTCCCTGGGTGAGAAATTAAATAATTTGTTTAAATTATTGAACAAGTGGTTGCCCAAACTATCATATGACTAAAGATATGTTTTACTGACTTCATGATCACTGAAAATTTTTGAAGCAGTCATAAAAAATTATGCATCTTAGTTACATTCCTCATTTATTTTTTTTAGTAAGTAAAAGATATGAGAATAAAATGACACAATTTTAGTATTAAAGCTAGAGCTTGATTTCCAAATATGTTTTTTTATGCAGCAAAAATTTTATGGATTGTTTTCTTGTTCATCATTTAATGATCAGCAAAATATTCTGCAAACTGCCACAGAAGAAAATAACGCATACAGAAGGATGAAGAAGGAAATAGAACAGCACATGCTATAAATTGAACGAAATAAATACAAGGTATCTATGCATGCTTTTTATTACATGCCTTTTTCTATATTACTTTGGGTAGAAAGAAATATGCTATATTTCTTCATGGGAGTTAGGATAAGACACTGAATTCCAGATGCTACTTGGTCTTAATTTCGAAAAACAAGAAATGTGGGGCTTTTCCATTCTGTTTTCCATCTCCTTACAATTGTCTCCTGTGCATCGCATATCAAATCTGCAGTGGTGCTCACTTGCAAGAAGAGTGCCACATGCGAGTTCACGATGGTCTGATTGTGAAAACTTGCCTTCCTTCCCTTTTCTGGAGATCCCAAAGGCAACATTTGTCTTACAGTCTCTTTGCTATGGGTGTAACTAAATGTAAAGCACTTTGGGATGTCCAGCTATATAAAGTATTGCCATTGAAATGCAAGCTGTTTTTCTGCAGAAAAACACAAAAGGAAAAAACCCAAACAAACAGCAACAAAAAGCAAATGAAAAGGTTTCCAGGGATAAAACTGTGAACACTGTTAGATAAATAAAACATTAGCAAGAAGGGAAAATATTTCCGGAAAACAAATCAATTAGATTTAAAAAATTTTTATTTGAGAAAGTTGACAGGCTTGCAGAAATTTCTAGCTTACAAGGTATTTGCAGAGAGAAAATATGATTGAGACACTATTATCAAAGTAAAAACCCTACATATTAAAATTTTAACTCTAACTTGTAGAGAGTCCAGATATTTTCCTCTGTGACATAAATTTGCACAGGCAGTAGAAGCTTCCAATTACAGAGTTTCTTCTGTATTTTACCTCCTTGGAAATAGTATTTGTCCTTTTGTAAAATGAGTGTGAGACTCTGTCCTTCCCAATTTATGACTTCTACATGACACATTAGGAACTGAAATTATTTATAAAAACAGGGGAAAAAAAGTTAACAAGCTAATTGATGGATAGTCCTACTTATTCACTGCAAAAGGACACTTTTGCCATGGTGAAAAAGTGGCAGGACTTACCTTGAGTTGTCATTTAGCCATGGACTAGACCCTAGGTATTCAGTCTTTCAGGTAAATGCCCTGATGACAAGGCTGTAGAAATATAGGCATAATGATGGGGTTTTTTTTCTCTCCATTGATTCTAGTAGTTTGTGTCCAATGCAACAGAATAAGGAACCACATGGAAGTCTCCTGTTCCAGGGTAGCACCCCAACCCTCACATTGCTAAGTTGCAGACCAAGAGCAAGTATCACCCTATCCAACTCCTCTTTGCTCTTTTTGGAAAGGTAGCCTCTGTTTAAATCCAGGAACACTCACCTACTCCTCCTTCTATCCAGGTTGTTTCAGGAAGTCATGGCTCTACCTCCTTGTAACCTTCCTCATAAGAGGTTCCCATCCCCACATGATCTTCTGAAGGAACTTCTCTCTTGGAAGGCAGTGCTTGAAGCAGGGCAGAGGCACATGCTGTCTTCTGGCTCCAGTTGTGCTGAGCAACTATTTTTAAAATTTTTTCTCAATTGAAAGTTTCTGGAAAGTAAGTGGAACTCAGACCAAAACAGTTTTGCTTTGCTAGATATCTGATGTTTGCTATACACATATTTTCCTGATAACTTAATAGCCCCACTAAAAAAAAAATTAATAAATGTTCTCTATTAGACTTCTAACTTTGTTTCAGTCTCCAATGATGGCTTCTCATCACAATTCATGTTCTGAAGGTTATGGGTTTGTTAGCTTTTATAGCTTTCCCATACCAGACCATATTAACTCCTGTTATAATCTACCAGTCTGTGCTGAACTGAAACTCATATGTTGATGCCTCTCTCAAAAGACAAGGAATATCAGAAGTGTGAATTGCCCTTTAAATTTGTGCTTATTCTCTGCATTTTAGTTATTTATGCTAAAATGTCTTGAAGGCATCAATTCACTTTGTCTTAGAAGTATAATTTGATGAAAATTGGGTCTTCTCCCTGGCTTAGAAGATACATATCAAAAAACACTTCCATGCCAGATGTACTTCAGAGTAAAAAGTTGGACTTCTCTTTAAAGTTGGGCTATTTTTTCATGTTTGCTTAAACTTACTCAGTTTGGGTAAACTGGCTCTCCTGACATTTGATAGTTTGCTTCAGTAATGCTGTGCACGCCCACTTTTTAGTGGGGTGTGCAATATTTTAGGGAAGACTTGGCAAATTCTGAATGTTAGTTTTGCATTTCCCTTTTGTTTGGAGAAATAACCTGGTGTATTTTATTTCCTGAGACATATATCTGTATTTTAGGAATGCATGTATCACACAGTTGCTTTTCTTCTGTCCCAGACTGAAAAGCAGCAGAAAGGTGGGAGAAGGCCTCAGCTGAGTTGAAACTAAAGAGAAAAAAAGAAATGCACATGTACCATTAAGATCTGGATCCACAGAAGGTAGTTTTTTTTGGCAGCTTTATTTTTGTGAGTTTCTAACAACTGTCTTATTTAATCTGATTGTGAGTAAGGAGAGAAGATTTACTGCCATGAATGCTAGTGCATGGTATAAGCTACAGCTTTCTTTATTACTTCCATTATCACAATGGATCTCCATTGGCCTGAATTGCTAACATCCTTATAGGAATGATAAGACTAAAATGGTTCTACCTGTCATTCACTGATGTGTGAATCGACAATCAAACGATTGATCAATTTCTCTGTGCTTCAAAGCTACTTTCATCCTGATTTGCTGTATAAAATGCTGCAGTTTCAGCTAAGTTTTCTAAGGGGTAGGTAAAGTAAATTAGGCAATTAGACATAATCTTGGACTTAAAAATTGAAAACCCGTCAGCATATCTGTCTTGCAAAGAAAATACATTTCAAAATCTGAAAATACAAAATCTTTTGTAAGGAAGAAATACCCTCACAATAGAAAACTCCTGTAGTCCTGGCATTGTGTGTGTGAATGGCTTTCATGAATTTCTAATATATTTTTCTTTTGTTCAGTTTTTCAAAAAAACTTTGGACTCTAGAAGCTTTTAAGAAGGAGAAGTTTTTTAAGTGGAGCAATAGGAAGTGTTAAATATTTTATTAGTGATTTGTGAGAACATGCTTTTCCTTTATTCCTTTAATAGAAAAAAATCATGACAGTTAGCAAAATTATGAGGATTAATGTATGAGGCATGGCAGCCTCTGAGTAATGTATTTATAAACAGTTTCTTTTAAAAAGAAAGTATGTCAAAATAGATTACAAGAAGACTAGGAAATTATTGTAGTCAGATCAAACAGAATACACAGTCCATGAGTTTTTTTTTCTGTAACATCTGGTGCAACCTGACTGAGATCACCCAGTCTTCATCTGCTTCCCTCTCTGACAGGAATGTCATGTTGCTTTTGTTCACCTCCTTGGTTTAAAACAGAGTAAAGTGAATGACTATCTCAAGAGTCTAATGTACAAAAAATTCTTCATTATTTAAGTGAGATTTCATCTCAAATCACTTTTCGGTTTATTTAGTCCTTTTTGCTTTTGTTGGTGAACTGTGCCCTTCCTGATCTACAGGTAATCATTTACTTTTAAACATTAATATGACCAGAGTTGTATGTTCTACATAATCTGTCAAAACTAAGGAACAGTGACGAGCTGCAGAAACAAAAAAAAAAAACCCTCCATAACCAAACACCTAAATATAATGATAAAAATTGAGACAGAAACCATCAAAATAGAAAAGTTGAGGCAGACAAAGGCTGAGTAATAGTTTTGACAGACTGACTGGAAGCCACTGTGCTTTAGGCTGTGAGGGCTTCATCCAAGTTTTACTGGTGGCAGTAGAATGGCTTCAGCAGGCTTTGATTCAAACCCAATTCAGCCAATTTATTGAATGATTTCTTCATTTTTGTCACACCAGTCTTGTTGCTGAGCAGGAATGAGGAGAAAGGGGACAAGGGGATGCCAAAGGAAAGCTGACCACACAAATGTAATGCTGGAAGCATTAGACTGCATGGGGTTGTTCAGCCTCCACAAAGAACCAAACTTATTCCCATGGAAACCAATGTTCAAAGATGAATAAGTAGCCTGGCTCTCAGCAGCTCCCTTTCCTTTTTTCTCTTTTCTTCTCTCTCGGGATGTTTTGTTGTTGTTTTTGGTAAAGGAAAAGAAAGTCTCTTCACCTCCAAGCAGCTTGAGAAAAGACTGGCAACATTCATTCCACTAATAAGGTGTCAATTAATGCAAAGAGGAATGTCCTGGATTTCTCAAAGAGATGTATTTTTCAATAGGAGCTAGTCAAGATGTTGATGAGGTTTTGTTTCTCTCTCTCTCTCTTTTTTTTTTTTTTTTTTTTTTTTTTTTTTTTTTTAAATCGAACATAAACTTTCTTGAAAAAGGGGGCTGCTAAACTGGTGTTGTAAGTCTGCCCTCACGTGTTGGATTTTAACTCTTCAGGAGAGAAAGTGTAAGTGAGCTCAAAGAAATCAACGAGAAGTGTTGTGGCACCACCCAGTACAGATACTCGGGTCTGCTTTTTTTAGTGTTGAGTTTTGGATACTGATGTAGGTGTAGCAATGGATTACATACACAGGAAATACACAGAGGTTGCACTATCCATTGAATGCAGCAGATGTGGGCTGTTTTAATGCCTACACTAAGTAGACAACAAATTCAAAAGGAATGTTACAGAGATGTTGCTGATGGTATCAGTGTTATAAGGTGTTGCAACTATTGACTGATGTCAAAAAAGATGAAAGGTGCGCTGAAAAGCACAAGAATGATCAACCAACTTTTAATAAGTAAGGAAGATAGTCTCAGAAATCAGAAGGAAATCCTTTGTGTTTGGCTTCTTGCAAGGAGGGCTTCTGAGAACAGGAAATGCCATAGGATACAGCATCATATAGGAAATGTTCAGTGTGAGTCAGCATGAATCACTGCTTAGATGGGGCACAAGTGCTTCTGCAGGCTTCCACCTGGGCCAACTGAGTCTGATGTCTCTAAAAGTGTCAGTGCCCACTGAATTTTTGGTATCATAAGCACCTACGGAAGAATTTTTCCATTCAAAGGAGGACCTCTTCTGTGTGGATCCTCTGATACCTAAGTGATGGTCTCATGCTGCAGCCTTTCCTTTAGTCAGGAATAAATTTCTCCTCTCCAGACATCTGTTTCTGTAAAATTTATAACAACATAATGTCTGTCCGTCTATTCCACTTGGCTGACACCAGCCAGTAGGCTCAAAATTATTGGGGAAACCAGCCAGAAAAAATGATTGCCTAAGCCTCATTTCCTTAGGAAACTCAGCTAAAAAGTTAATATTAGCAATAACTTGTGGATTGGAGCTACCACTGGGGGAATGCAGCGTGGTACTGAAGCTGTATATGGCCAAAAGCAGTCTGGTGCATTGCTCCCATTGCACTTTTGCTGTAAACTTTCTCCTGGACCCTGTTGGCAAAAAACCCTCCCTCCAGCTGCTGTGTGGGTGAATGGTCACAGCGGAGTCTTTGGCACGGCCAAGAGCCTCATTGTTTCTTGGTTTACCCACTGTTTTTTTGGGGTGTGGACACCTGCTCACTGGAAAGGGATAGAGACCGCACATCCATTAATCTGGGTTTCCCCTGGCCTTCTGCACATTTGGGATCTGTACTCAAATCAGCAGTTTGCAGTGGGTTTCAACTCCTGGTACTGAGTAATTCATTTCCATGGCATTTTTTTAAAAAAAGTCTTTGAAAAGACCTGCATGTTCTTCTCCTGAATATATGAGTCTCACTTTGGTTTAATGAATCAATCTGGAGTCCTTAGATTGTTTTTTAATTTACACTTTAAAAGTTTTGTTATTTCTTTCTAGATAATGATTCATGGATGTGGAGTATGAGAAATGTGTTTTCTGCTGCAGTGTGTAGAAACCTGGGTCTCCATTTCTTCACTGCTGTCTAGGGCCTTAATTTTTGCCTGCATGGTGTTGTTCTTGCTGTATATCCTCTCTTCCCTCCTTTCTCTTTCTCAGAACAGTGCTTAATAAATTGCATTTATCTTTTCAGAACACCGAAATGATAATCTCTGTTAAAAAATCCTTAAAACCCCACCACATTTCACAGCATTTCACAGCAGATTCTTCCTTCTCCATCTCCATCACATATAGTCAGTGATAGTTACCTCACTGTGATCCCTTCAGCTCCCAGTGTGTTTAAGAAGTTCCTTATATGCTAAGAAGGGCACACAGCCAAAGCTGCTTGTGCTGAGATTTTTTTCTGTGTGACTATGAAGCAGGGCAATGGCATTGTAACTGCTTTGCAGAGTGAGCTCATTTTCAGTATTCTCTTTTATCCTGAGGTGATGACCTTTCTATTACCAGCCTCTCTGAAAAGGAGTACAACCACGTCTTGTCTGTGTCTTCTTGTTTATGGTTTATATGTGGCTCAAAGTTCTGCCAGAAACTTAATGCCATTTTACTGCCTGGTTTTACATTCTGTCTGTGATGTACTAATTATCAGGGTGTGACAGAGCACTTATTTCCTATCATAAACCAGGGCTGTTACCCAGGAAGGAAATTTTGTTTGAGTCATGAAACCATATAACAATATGAAATATTCTATGAGGACCATATTCTGATCCTGTTGACACTGACAGGAATGATGGTTTTGTCTTCACTGTGAGAGCCACATAATGAAAGACAAGGCATCTCTATGCCTACTTCTATTTTACTTTTTGAGAGCCAATTCCCCACAGTACTGTCAGCACCGGGCAGTTGTATACCTCAGCTGAAAACCTGGTGCAGCACTAGCAGGGGATACTCAGTATGCTAGAGAGCCATAGTCTTTGTGGATGTAAATTAGTGTAACTCCTTTCACATCAGGGGCAGTGCCCTGTTTTATATTACGGGGAAGTCTTGCTCTTAGCTTCAAGCTGCCATTTCCTCCTCCTTTTTAGAAGGGAAAAAGCAAAGAGTCTGCACTCCTAATCCATTCCTTGTAACTGGAGGATGGGAGGAAAGAAATAAAACAATTTGGCGTCTGTGTAGCAGTTTCCTAGTTCCCTACTTATAGTACACAGTTAATGCCCACGACTTAATGGGAATACACTTGCACTCAGCCACACTTGCCTATGGCAAAAGAGCCAATGGAGTATTTCTGCTTATACCATCGCAAAGCTTCACTTGAACAACAGAAGCACAAGGAGAAACCAGATTCAAACCAAGAGCAAGGGTGAAGAGAGGGTAGCTTCTCTCCTGGCCAGGGCTATGAGTGCTGTGCTCAGCAACACTGATTTCTGGGCACCTGTGCATCAGCCTTGTGTAGCTGTTGCTATCAGTTCTTCATACATTCACTGGCTGATGGCTATTTCTTCCTCCTCTGTGGAAGAGATGGTAAAATTTGAGCACAAGAAAGTTCGTCTTTTCAGACAACTCCAGCAGACTATAG